GGGGGGGGGGGGGGGGGGGGGGGGGAAAGACTGCACTAGTCCTTCTGGCATCAACAACAGATACAGGAGGGGCATTTCTTGGTAAGGTGAGGAGGTAGAACCACGGTCCTGAACTACCATGTGCCACCAAAGCCGCATTCCCTTCACCCACACCCATTCCAACATTGTTGCATCCTCATCACTCCACCCACCAAAGCCTCTGAAGAGGCTGAATTTGGCCCACTGAGTGCAGTGCACACTAAATAAAAAGTGCTGTTGTTGCATACTCAATGAGTAATAGGTTATCTCAGCAGTCTCATGTCAAGAGATTAGAGCAGAAAGGACTGAAATGACTTAATGCATTCAATACCCCTCCTACTACACCATTCCTTCACCTGAGAAAAAAAAACTCAACCATGTAATTTCAGATTTTGTTGTACAATTTGATATAAACAAAACTACACTCTTTTTTAAAATTTTGTACAAAGGAAGCTTAAGTGTACAGATGGGCACAACAACGTTAGAAAGGTAAGTCTTATTTTTTAAAATGCATCGAACAGCAGGATAAGATTCAGTTCCACTGCATCACAGGAGCCACATGCATGCTTTCGGGAATGTTATGCACCACACCTCCCTTCATAGCTCTGGAGTTCCTGTGAGACAGGCCTGGTTTATGCAGCAGCAGCTCTGCTGGGTGGCCCAGCATGCTCAGAATCAAGAAGGAAAGTATATCAAAATTAGAAGGAAAAAAAAAAAAAAAGAGGGAAGTATGGGTCAAGCTGAACAAATGGAGATCTGGATACAGATACTTCAAAACAACACTCCACACGATGAACATCTTGGACAGCCCCCTGTGTAAATGCAGTGCTGCACTGTTTGTTGGACACTTAATTGAAAGCTGCACATTTACAAACGCCCAGAGGGGGCAGATGGAATCTGCACATTGAGCGGTTATACGAGACAGTGGCTCATATATTTGGAAGTTGATATCTGACACTAAACAAAAGGAGCAATGTATATATGAAAGAAGGAAAGTATATAAAATTAAACGAACAACACTTCATCCGAATTCCATACATCGCTCCCATCACAGTTTGAATAAATGACCAGTATTTGCAAATGGATGTCTACGCATCAAAGCCCATATATATAAATTCAACACCAGCTGTGGATAATTTGAAGCCCTGAAAGTGCTATACCCTTTATTTATTTGGTATCAAATTTTAAGCGTTTTGAGCAACTACTGTCTACAGTGTTTTTATCTTCCATGCGGAATATCCATGAGGCACAGATTCATAGATGCTAGGGTCAGAAGGGACCTCAAGGATCATCGAATCCGACCCCCTGCCAGTGGCAGGAAAAAAGTGCTGGGGTCATGTGACCCCAGCTAAGTGCTTGTCCAGTCTCCTCTTGAAGACCCCCAAGGTACGGGAGAGCACCACCTCCCTTGGAAGCCCATTCCAGATTCTGGCAACTCTAACCATGAAGTTCTTCCTGATGTCCAACCGAAACCTACTCTCTATCAGCTTGTGGCCATTGTTTCTGGTAATTCCAAGGGGTGCTCTAGTAAAGACAGCATCTCCTATTCCCTGCTGCTCCCTTCTCCTGCCCCAGTGAATTTATATACTGCCACAAGATCCCCCCCTCAGCCTTCTCTTGCAGAGACTGAAAAGGTCCAGGTCCCTCAGCCTTTCCACGTAAGGCCTTCCCTGCAGACCTCTAACCATACGAGTGGCCCTCCTCTGGACCCTCTCAAGGTTGCCACACCCTTCTTGAATTGCGGTGCCCAAAATTGGACGCAGTACTCTAGCTGCGGCCTGACCTGTGCCACATAGACGGGGAGCATCACCTCCCTGGACCTGTTCGTGATGTACCTACTAATGCATGACAAAGTGCAATTAGCTCTGCTAATTGCTTCATCATGTTGATGACTCATATTCACCTTGGAGTCGACAACGACTCCAAGATCTCTTTCTGCCACTGTGCTGCTGAGACTGTCATCCCCCAAGCCTATAGGGGTGCTGGTGATTCCTTCTCCCTAGATGCAGCACTCTGCACTTGTCCTTGTTGAACTGCATCCTATTGTTCTCTGCCCACTTCTCTAACCTGTCCAGGTCCACCTGGATTTGGTTTCTTCTCATCAGTGTGTTTGCTTTGCCTCATAGCTTGGTGTCATCTGCAAATTTGAACAGAGTGCTTTCCACGCCCTCACCCAGGTTGCTGATGAAGATATTGAACAGCACTGGCCCAAGGACCGAGCCTTGGGGGACCCCACTACCCACATCTTTCCAGGCTGATACCAACCCATCCACCACCACTCTCTGGGTACGACCCTTAAACCAATTTGCCACCCACATACACGTGTAATCGTCTATGGCACAGCCATGCAATTTGTTTATAAGAATAGGATGGGATACTGTGTTGAAGGCCTTCTTAAAGTCCAAGTAGATGACACCTACCTTGACTCCTGCATCTAAGCTTTTAGTGACCTGGTCATAGAAAGAAGCAAGGTTAGTCAGGCAGGATCTACCTATAGATACCTACATCTACCTATAACTACCTAAATAAGGCATAGTTATAGATGTACTGAAGAGTGAGTACCCCACAGTGTGGCAGAGTGAGCACATTCTTAACAGAGGATTTACAGTAGCAGTGCAATTTCACATATTTAAAGGGAAGGAAAAGTCACAGAAACAAGCACAATTTTATTCACTGTTTTTCTCTAAGCTGTGAGGGTCAGCATGAAGATGGAAACAGATTCATCCCTATCCCTTCCCATTAGTTAGCCAAGCTATCCAGGTTCAGAAGGAAATACATACTGTACCTGAGATATGGGTTGGTTGACATATACCCAGCCTGAACTAGGATTGACCTGCAAATACTTTGGATCTTCATTTGCTATTGAGTATGTAATGGCAGCATTTGAACCATAATCATCATCATGGGCTGCAACACGAAGAAAGCTAGTCCCAATTTTCGTGTCTTCCTTCAGGAAATCTAACACAAGGAGAACAGGCTTAATATCGCCCATTTTTCATATTGACAATTAATTCATTGGAGCAATATGAGCAATTCCTTAAGAAACATGAAAAATACTCAAGTAAAAAGCCACATGCAATACTTTTTCCACCTTGTAACAATACTACGGGAATGAAACTGGAGTTTCTGAAGATCTGCTATTACTCCAGAACTAAGGGATCCCATCTTAACTTGCAAAACCCACAACCTGAGAATTCTGTTTCTCTGAGAAACTGCCACCTTCTTTACAACATTATTTTTTTGCTTGTGACCAAGTATATATGTTGCATGAATGAGGTACAATACTGTATATATATTTAAATAGTACTGTAAAGTGCTGCATTAAACTAGGAAAAAATAAATAAATAAATATGGAGAGCATTTTCAAAATCAACCTCTAAATTTGAATACTGTAACAAACCAGGAAATATCCACATTTCTTTTTATGACTACGGGGCATGTTTGTGTATGTTTACCAATGTTGGGTTTTTTCCTGTGGAGTTAGAAAGGAAAGGATTCTTAGATGGCTCAACAATAAAAATTAAACAACAGCCAGGGCTACAGCCATGTAGGTGTCGCAGCTCATTGGCTGCAGTCCCTCGAGTGCAAGGGCTTGTGAGTGCTAAACAATTTGGATCTGTTATATAAATATGATTAAAAATAGGGGCATAAGTACCCAAAGACCCAGTCCTAGAGAGGCTGGGAATGGCTCAGCCAAGAATGAGCTGTAGGAAACTGACCTGCCGCCTCTGGTGAATTCAACAGGGACTAAAAAGAAAAGGGTCCAATGCACTGTTCAGTCTATAAGAAAGATGAATGAAAAACACCTGCACAGAAATGTCAGATGGATAGAAAGACACTTATAAGGGTGCTCACAGACATGGAGGGGGCAGGAAATGTGCTTTACTGGAAGCAGCAGCACATTAGTTGGACCCACCTCCACAACATCTGTGCAGATCAGGCACTTCAGCAGGGCTTTCTATAATACTTTTAGCTAAAGCTGATTCAATCAGCTATCTTCTATGCCTGAAGAAGTGTGGGCGCCCAAAAGCTTGCAAATAAAGATTTTTTTTTGCAACTATCTAGTTGGTCTAATAAAAGATATCACCTCCCAAAGAGTTCTGATTACTTTTGCCTGCAGACCAATACGGCTACAACCTGTAATCCTGAAACATGGAAGATACTGAAATTAGCCGGTTTGAAATGAAAGCTTCATAATTTTACAAAAAAGAAGCGAAATGCAACACCTTCAGGTCTGAAAGCTGACACTAGCTCCAGCCTTTTGTTTTGAGCCAAATTTGCATGCTCACGGAGCAGTCTCAACACAAGAGAAATTCCTTGCCCAGGAGAAGCTTCCATTGTCCACCCTCCTGTGAAATATGAAACATCATAACAAGAAGAAGCATGATTCAATGTCCTACTTGTCATCAGATAACTCTGAGGTAAACAGGCACCTCTAATTTTTATCTGAGCCTATTTTGCATAAAATGAACATTTCCAAACAAGAGATTTTACACTACCTTTCAGCTCTCCTGTGAAATATGAATTTTAATTTCCACCTGGGAGAAATGTTACAATCTCTGCATTCTCCTATGCCTGAGGAAGGGTGTGTGTGCTCAAAAGCTTACACATAAAGACTTTTTTGCAGCTGTCTAGTTGGTTTAATAAAAGATAACACCTCCCCAGGAGTTCTGACTGCTAAAGGACCCGATCTCTACAGACATTGGGAAAGTCAGGTGCAAGTAACACACTGCATCTTTTGGGCATGTACTGGGCTTGGCATGGGAGCATGCTAAATTTAAAGTAAAGCGTTGTTTTGGGGGTTTTTCCACATCTGCAAGCAGCCAAAATTCAAAAGGTATGCACACCTTTGTGGGGAATTTGGGCCTAAGTTAAGAAGAACACTTTTAAATATTTCGCTTTAGGTGTTCGTTTGACACAGAACTGAAATCCACAAAAATTGAGTCTTAAAGCTGAAACCTATTACAATTATTTTCCAGTATAAGCAGGACCTTAGCCTTTCAAAAATATAGCACATAATTCCTATTTTTCTCTGTGAAAGTTATATATGCCTACTCATAAAAAAAGTCTCCAATAAAGACTTCAAGTAAAATCATCCTCTAACAGAAAACCCTGTAATGAATGCTCAGCACACTGTGTAGAGTTTTCATATCTAGCTCTAGATTTCTGTAACCCTATGGATTTAATTCTTCCTTTAATACAGAATAATTGCACAAGGCATAAATATGATTACCCAAAACAGTTACAGGCTACCCTATTAAGTAATTATGACTTTGGATAATTTTTTAAAATAAGCATCATCTATCCAAAGGCCCAAAACATTACAATCTATTGATTCAATAAATAAAAACATAACGCGAACCATATTTGACTTCTTCACTAAGTGCACAGAATTCCTATTCATGACGTGAACAATTATGCATACAAGTTTACATAAATCTCTGACTTCATACCTTGTAAATGCTCATGCCATATTTCAACATATTTTTAAAGTGCATAATGCCCATTATAAAAGTTGCTGAAAATATTCCTACATATGCACAATCAGTTTTCAAGCAAAGGTGTGATCCCTCTATTACCTGACTACCGGAAAAAAATGTCTTTTTTCCCCCCAATCCATTTTATTTTTATAAGAAATTTAGAATTATGGGGAAAAAATAATAAAATTAAGTGTTAAAGGATAGAATTAATAGATGGCAAGCAGGTGTGTAACAATGAGGACAAAAATATGTTAATTGGCCAATGATGCAAAGTGGTAAGGGCCTGATTCTGTGGACACTTACATTCCTGGGTACCTTCACACCTCTGAGAAGTCCCACAAAGCTTTGATTTACTCAGGTGAGTAAAATTACTAGCGCTTCAATGTGTTGGCAGGATTTTGCCTCTAGAAATATTCAAAGAGGACTCTGGGGAATGACTGTGTGTGTTATCACTGTGTAATATCTAATGATAAATGCATCCATCCTTGATTATAATGAAATATTAATTTTGCCTGGAATTCACAGGATTAGTTGCATTTGGGTCAGAGGAAGGGGAACCAAAACAAAAATCTTAGACATCAGGTACGCTCACACTCAGGGTACTGAAACTCTATCCAATGAGTCTCAATTACATTCATAGCGGGTGTTTTCAAATCTGGGATCATTGTCATTTTGGTCCAGGATGACAACATTTATTTGACAGATCCCAATGAGAGGTTCTGCAGCCTGGTCTGTTGCAGTCACAGTAATAGGATACTCCCTCTGCTTTTCTCGATCAAATCTCTGAGCAGTTGTCAAGACTCCTGAAAACAGATTGAAGGTCAAGAAGTTAAAATACCATGCAGTTTTCTTTTCCAGTCACTTAGATTACTGTTATATCTTTTGGGACTGTAAATGGTGGAGAACAATATACTTGGTTACAATGCAAGGGCATTTTTACATGTGCTTCAGGAGGTGTGTGTGTGGAGGGGGAGGAGGGTGCTTTAATTAGTGAGTCGCGCTAATTAAAACTGCCTGGGCATCATATGTATCAGTGTCCCCCCAGCTGAAAAATGGCAACAGGGCACTTTGAACTAAAGCTCAAACAAGCTTTAGTTCAAGGTGCCCTGCCACCATTTTTCAGTGCGGGGATGCTGATTTATGTGATGCTAGAGTCCGCTGGAGCGCATTTATTTCTGTGCTCCAGCAGACTTGATTAATCGAGTCTGCTCTGACATGCTGGATTTCCAGCACATAGAAGCCAGCTCCCTCAACATCTACAGGAGCCCTAAATGACTGTCCCAAGGATGTAAAGAATGGCACAAGTCACATACCAAATCCTATAAGGACTTATGAACGTCAGTGACATTTTGACAGTATTATTCAGATACATAAGATTACAGAATACTGGAGTATATGCAGAACTGGGACACTAAATTAGAAAATGGCTTTAAGTATCAAAATAATTTGATATGGAATAAATTCATTATCAATTGCTTTAACTGCAAATAATTAAGAACAATTTATCTTAAGCTGTGGAATTCCAGCTAAAATTCATATGCAAGAAAACAACTAGTAATTGATTCCATTGTTACCTCCAAGTATATATGGATCAATTATGTTTTCTATTATGAAAAGGGGTTTTTTTTCTAAGTTTATATATTTTTTGCTTTTTGACAGTCTCTTTTGAAACTACCCTTTAGGTAAGACATATTTTATAAACTAAAGTTCAGCTAACATGCATTTAAAATACAAAAACATCTATTTACAAAGAATAAGCACCTATTTCACACAACAGAAATTCTAG